ACGGGCTATCAGAATCTATAATTACTTTCTCCAAAATGTTGATTTATAGTGATAATTTATTGAAAATACTTTGTCGAACTATTTTTGTCCAGGGGGATATAAAACCAGAGTTTCTCATTATCAAAGGAAGTTGCATGGAATCTTCTAACTAAAGAATATTCATTACTTCATTGTAATCACCCGTCTGTAGTAAATGACATTTGAGTATACAGCAACGTAATATCTGAGAAGCAAGAATTTAATATTGAGAGGTTTCAGCAAGATAGAATATTTAAAGTGAAAAAGAAAAGTAGATAGAACAAATGGGATCAGATAGGTTTCAGTTGAGAGAAAACTAGACAATCTTAGAGAGTAGTCTTGCCCTGAGAATTACTACATGTTCCCACGCAATAACTGTTTTCCATGAGTCGACACGAGACATTTACAGGACGTCTCAAAAGTCCCTACCCAAAAATGTCGTTTTTTTTGTATGATAGGTGAAATCATGAAGTTTTTATGTCTATAGGTGAACTCTAAAAGTGCTCTTTGATCCTTTGGGGACGGCGGTACATATGTTGTACCGCTTATTTTCCAGGTAGGAAATTGTTTGCTCTCTATTAACTGGTTATGACATGTACCGCAATAAGTTGTCCCATCTGCCATGCCATGCAATTTTTTTCTCTTTTTGCCTGTCATGTAAATCCATCTTACATGCTCTCCTTTCTTTCTGCTAATATACACCGACGTCATGATTTCTCTCTCCCTTCTTTTCATGTATTATCATAAGTGTTTTAGGTCACTATTCTGAGTCACATACAGTAAATTGATAACCTTTAGTCGAGAAATAAAAATCTAGTATTTTGTTCTGGTTCTATAATAACATTTAGCAACGTTTTAATTTTAATTGTCTTGGCTTTCAGAATTATTTCGATCTTTAAATTGTTGAAGTCTCTAACAGCCATTTTATAGGAATTAGTTTTAATGTCCTTGTAAAGAAAAAGTCAAGTGCAAGCAAATAAAAAAGAAACTGAAAAATGTTATTACAAAAACAGAGAAAAGATTAAACTCTTGTATTATCAGCTAAAGATAATCACTTTAAAGAGCAATTGTATAGCTTGCCCATAGAAATAAAACTTTGATGGAATCACATATGATACAAAAGAAAGTCAGTTAATAAAGATCAATTAACAGTGAAATTAAACAAAGCAAAAATCCTTTTACATATGGGCATTTGTGACACTCTTTACATTTCACAATTCATCATTAACAGGAAATTTTTATTAATTGTAACCAGGTGCTTTCATGAAAACCATTCAAATCTTTAAAAAAGTTTAATTAATTGCCAAAACATGTTAAAAAATTGCTAGTGTGAAACCGATTTAATGCGGTTTTCGCGAATAATCAACCATTCTTTATAGTTTACATATTGAGATGTTTAAATATCGTTTTGATCTTTAGCGCATCTACTTCGGTAAGTCAAAATATAGTCCCTCAAAGACTACTTGTAGACATGAAAATAAGTTTTTTTTTTCTATAAGACTCATGTGTTTTTTATTCGCTGAATGAATGCGGATTTTCGCTGTAGTGTTTTGTTTTTTGAGAGAATAATCTTGAATTTTGAAAAGAATATGTGTACTCCACAGGTTTATGCCATTTGTCAAAGGATTGTACTTAATCTAAGGTTCTTTATATCCTATTCTGCCCATGTAAAAATATTGGATTAAGAATCAGATTAAAACTTGATTATAATGGTACTATTACAATCTGATTTTAATCAGATTTTTCAACTTTAAAAGACAGATTCTATTTGATTTTGATTTTTGAATGAATTTTAATCGATTATTAATCAAGTAAAGTCTCTCTTGTAAAGCTGAAAAATCTGACTAAAATCAGATTATAATAGTGGCATTATAGTCAATTATTAATGTAATTCTTAATCCAAATTTTTTACATGGATAGACTTCACAAAATGGCGGACTTCGTTGGAGCTGACTTGTAAGATATCTTATGTCAACGATCATGATAAGTTCTCTTCTAACTGCTTCTTAATTTACCCAAGCTTGAAAACTCACAGTATTTTCACATTAGATCACTTCTTACATAAACACTTGATACCTGACAATTGGATTTTTAGGCGTATTGATTCATGCATTAGGAATTTAAGGTCATCTAATAATTACATACAAGGTAATATATCTTAGCTTATAAAAGTAAAAAAAATTGTTAACATATTCTTTCTTCTAAGATTTTTTCTAAGCGTTTTACAAGATCACTATTCGTAAAAAGTAACCAAGTAGTAGTACATTACACGATAATCAAATAATGACGGATTATCTTGGGCAAGTTAGCATCCAACTTGCACGAACTATTGTACCGGTGATTATGGTTGTCGGTATAGTGGGTAACTGTATTAATATAATGGTCCTCACTCGACCTACTTTGTACAATCATACATGTTCTCGTTACTTTCTTGCTCTCTCAATCAGCTGTCTCGCTTATTCGAGCATCAATCTTAGTTATCGACTATCGGCTGACGGATATCAGATGGATCCCGCTAGATTTTCGACGCTGGCATGTAAATTGGTCACCTACATAACTCAGTTGTGTAATCCTATGGCTCCATACTTTATTGTTTTGACTTCTCTCGACCGATATTGCATCAGTTCATCAAGTGCTCGAATACGCCAGTTTAGTAGTACTCGTGTATCTCAATGGGCAATCTTGATTGTCATTAGTATCTTTGTAGTACTCTATACTAACACTCCGATCATTGTCGATCTTCGACCAGAAGATGGACTCGGATGTCGAAATCGAGGTAATACCTTGTACAAACAAGTCTATGCTGTTGTTCAATGTGTTCTATTTGCTATCGTTGCACCAATTCTCATGATAATATTCGGTCTATTGACCATTTATAATGCAAAGCAAGTAGGTGATGGACGAGTATTCGCATCTCGATATCGTCGTACCGAACGTCAACTAGTTATTATGCTACTTGCTCAAGTAGGTTCTCACATTTTACTTACACTACCTGTGTCGATCACATATTCGATGTTAGTCCTACCAACAGGATACAAAGCAACACGTTTCATCTATTTTGCATACTCAGTTTTCAGTCTTTTATGGCATTTATCGTACGTTTCAGCTTTTCCACTCTATTTCCTTTCTGCTAAAATTTATCGACAAGAATTCGAGCGCTGGATGAAAAAAATGTTAAGATTTCGTGATGGCAATCGCACTACACCGATGGCAATCGATTATTTTGCTATGCCCTTGGTCAAAATCACTCAAACAAGAGGCGCAGAATGTCGTCCAACAGGTATTGAAAAAGTTTGACATTTCCAAGATAGAACATACAATGATACAGGGAACAAGGAACATAAATATCCATCTTCAGTATGAATTAAATAACAAGACAGTTAGTATGACTATCGGACATCATCGTTGTGTGTACATATAGCCGTTGTGTTGTCGAATATTTCTAATAATCATTACTAAAATTTCGTTCATTATTGTGCAGCGTATTTCTGTAAATTCAATATTGAATAAACCCAATATTAATCAAATAATCAAATTAGATGAAAATAGTCATTATATGCCTGTCAATATATCAAGATACACAAATCAAGTTTATGCACTTGAATGTTACATGTTCAATTCTAAATCAAATTTTTTTCTTTACAAAAAATTTCCATTCAAATAGCATTATTATTTCATTAAACATTCACTTTATGATGATGTTATGATGAAGAAGAATATTTTTTTGCATCTATAGCGAATAGATTGTTCTCTCGTAATGTTTTTCATACGACCATCATGTAATTCTTTGTCAATACATTGAAAGAGACAGAATAAATCAAATGGAACTGTCATCGTTTAAATAACATGTTATGAAATGATTTCAGATGCTCATTCCTTTCTTTTTGAAGGAGAAGTATTGAGTGTTACTTGATTGCAAGACGTAAAACATCGAAAATGCAAAAAAAAAAGGCTCTTAGATACTGGTAAACAAAACTCATTAGAAAAAAATTTTCATCAGCATCGCTTAATTGAGACGAAAAGTGGGCAAAGATAACGATCGTCCATGATAAGGATGGAATTTATGTTCGGTTAAAATTTGGAACAAATATGTATTTTTCTGACAAAAAACATCATAATAATTTAGATGCATTTATTCTATTAGTTACGTTAAGATATCGAAGAATGTATTCTCTAGTTGTCCAGTGCCTCACTCGATGTGTGAATTTATGAAGTTTTACATACATTTAGATGATATCCATGTATCTATAATGCACATCAGATGTTATCGAATTGATCAATAGATAAACACTGATAAGTAGTCTAAGTCTTCAGTAACCAATAATTCATCTGCTTCTCTTCGACTAAACTGTCACAGATCAAAACTCAGATAAAAATTGATTTTCTGACAGTGATCACAAAAAATCAATTTTTATTGATTTCTACTATAATTATACCATTTCAATTAGATGAAATTTACACAGCAGTTCCAGCTTTACTACATTTGAGTAACTTCGATTCAATAGCAAATTTATAGTTTGTAAATACACACAATCCAAATAATCGTAAAAAATGAGAGGGTCTGTGCTTGATTTTAGAGAAAACCATCTAGCTTTGATATGTACAATTGACATAGGTTAAAATTTAATAATGGATTAAAATTGATGAACAAATAATATGTATTACCCATATAAAACAAGTCGAAAAATTCCGGTTATAATTAATTTTGTTTTTTTGATTGAAAATCGATTTTTAATGGCACTATTATAATTAATGTTTAATCAGATTTAAAGTTATAAATAATCGAATATTAACCTATTAAAACTGACTTGTTTTTAATTTAAAATCTCATTAAATTTGGATAATAATAGTACCATTATAATTGATTTTTTTATCACCAAGATATCAATTATAATTAGATTTTTTTTTTGACCTTTTCTCCATCGGTGCGTAAACATACAACTCTCATTTATTGATTTTACATAGCTTACATTCTCTCTATTTTTTTGATGAAATTGATTCCATGCTTGCACGAAGTAAACACTCATCGTTTAACATTTATTAATCTAAATTAATTGATTCTTCTCATCTGTTTTTAAAGTTCTGTGACAACGAAAGAAACGGTTAACTGAGTTTCCTATCTTCTGCTCTATTGTAACAGTGATCGCACCTCATCTGATACACTTTATTTAACGACTTAAATCAGTGTCAGAGTAAAGTGAATCAATACCATAACAGAGCCGCAATTTTTTTTTGTCATCAGTGACAAATAGGAAATGTCTACAAACACGTTTATGTTCGAAAAGATCGTCCAATTGATTACGTAGAATATATAATATTAAAATATATCATATACTGATTATATGTACCCATTGATATTATAACTATGTTCATACAATAACAATATAAGATAATAGCCAAACATTTCAAATCTTAGCATACTTATTAGATTTCTAGGACATAATAAGAGCTATTTACCGATAACAAATGGCACTAAATTCATTTTGATTGATAGAGAAAGAATATACAAACCAGCTGTTTACTAATGCTTATGTGTAGATGTAACAATTATCTATGATTAATTGTTCAGTATTTTTCGCTGCATTGACTAATATATAAGAATAGTTTCTTTGATTGATCTCGTATTGACAGTACGAGATGTGTCACATGTATACGTATATCCTTTATCATATGTATGATTGAATCAATGGAAAAAAAACACTATGCTGACTAAAGCTATTATAGAATGAAATAGTGGAAACTAATTACCTTTCTAATTATATATATAATTAATTAGTGATGTTTTCTTATAAATTTTAAGTAGGATCTATTTTACTGGCAAAGCAAATGCCGTTTTTATTAGCACGTGTAATTGAATACAGTTTAATAAGAGAAAAAAATATCAAATTTTCTTATATTAGCTCGAATGCAAAGTATATTATATAAATTTCAATTGCGTAAAACCTGAAAAATTACGTATAACTTGATTTGTTTTCTTTTATGCCAAACTATCATGAATTATCTAGAGAAATTTTAAGTCTAGCCGAAGGAAGCCAAATATGACTTCTCTCAACTATTATATCTTTGTTTAACATTATTTTCAATTCCTTAGATGTAATGATTAAATTCACTTTATACTATCATGCACGAAAAGCATCAACTGTCAATTTATTTTCTACGAATCGAATTATAAATTTGATGCAATTGATTTATTAAATGTAATATAAAGTTATTTCTGATTTATCACACGTACATAGACAAACACATATAACAAACAACAACAGAAGAAAAACAAACGAGATAATTCGTTTGACTCATTAGTCAAAAATCAACTGTATAACATATAATTTTTGTATGACTAATTAAAGAAACAAATTAGTAGGTTTATATTTTTTTTTTGTTTGTTCCAGTAGGTTGGTTATACAAAAAAAAGTATTCGACAACGTATTATCGACGTGTTCGTGACGAACTAGACGATGATGATGGCAATGGTGATCGTCGAGATGGACGATGAGAAGATGACGATCGAGATGGTGATGCATAACGTCCTGGTCCATTACGTGACGATGATGGTGAAGCAGCATAACGACTAATATAAGAGTATATGTATACGAAAAAATGAAGTGTTCGATTTCTTTCTTTTTTTGTCTCTATGTCTTGTTTACAAATAGCTATCATGAAACTTCAAGCAATTACATACGTACACCATCACCAGATTTTCCAATCAAGTATTTTAAGATAGGCGAACGAACGTATTCTTTTTTTTTCTTTGTATAATATCTCTTGCTTACCTTCTCGGTGGTCCCATTGCACTAAGTCCGGGTGGATACGTCGGGTAAGCATCGTAAGTTGACCTGAAACGGAGTTTGGCCAATGTGGACGTTCAATTGAACGAAATAGAGAAAGAGAAGCAAAACGCCGACGTTATTTTTTTTTTTCGACACAACACTTCTCTTTTACTATGCACGAATCACGACATACCGCATTGGTGGTCCTCGTCCATAGTGATCAGTAATTGGCATTGGTGGTGCTCGTTGATGATAGAAGTCATCGCGACCATATGGATCCACGGGGCCACCTCGCATACTGTACGGATCAGCATAATTCATTGGTGGCGGTGGTGGTGGTATTCGTTGACGTTCATAAGGTGAATCATACGGACGAGATCTTGTGTCCATGTAGCTGTTACGCATACGAGGATATGATCGATCGGGACCGCCACTTCGACTCGATGACATCATTGGATAACCTCGATTTCTATTATATATATATACGAACATAGCAGAATATTTCATTAACAAAAGGAAACAACAAACCGAGATGATCGCATTGGCATAGAACTTGATTGATGACGTGGTGATTCTCCACGACGACTACATGTGTTTATAAAAAAAAAAAAAAAAACATATTTGAATCAAAATCAAATTACAATCTCTTACGATGAACGACCTGAATTTCGAAATTGAGTTGTTGATACCTAATAAATAGACATATTAAATAATATTTACATAGAGAGTTTTCCAATAAATCCTTACCTCAACTCTAATACGACTTCCTTTTAAATTAAATTCATTCAAAGCAGCTATAGATGCTTTTGCTTTACTTGTATCTTCCATATGCTACAAAGAAACAAAATCAATTGAGGAATTTTTTTTATTGCTGAGATAAAACTTACAACAAATGCATAATCTTTAATAATGTCACATTCAAGTACTTTACCATATTTCTCAAATAATTCTTTCAATTCAGTTGAACTGACTGAAGGAGCTATATTACCAATATAAAGTTTCGTTGGCATATTTTATTAAAATACAATAAAAATAAAATCGAAATATTCTATTATTTCTTCAAAATCGAACGTTTTCGTCTTCTTCTTTTTTTTACAATCAAAAAATAAACGAACCAATCCAATCAAATTACTTCTGTTTGAATAGCCATATTATTTAGCTTAGAAACTTCATCTTGATCAAATTTTTTTCTATAAACTTAATAAAAAAAAATTATATTTCTATTTGTCATGATTTTCAAATTAAATTAAACATACGAGTGGCAAATGAGTAAGTACTAATTAAGCGACACCTCTAGAGGACTTCACCTTTAAACAGTATTCGTTCATTATTGGCGAGTATAAACTGATACATGAACTTCTTTGTTCAATATTCCCAGGCAATCAATCGAAATCAATACACACACAACGAATTGAATCTTCAAACAAAATCATCAATTTTTTCATCTAAAAAGACAGTAATATAAACATACAGTTTTAAAACGAAGAAGAATGGAGAGTATGCATTTTATTAATCCATTGTCTTAATCTTCAGTGCATATTAGTGGATAATTTTCATGCATTTAAACCAGTATTTCATATATATTTTTAGATGTCGTGGATTTTTGGTTATAAAAAACCTGTTTCTGATCTTCCGCCCCAAGGTTTAGGAGGCACCAATGATGGATCTTCATCTCCACCTGGTAGTACTGGAAATGATAAACCATCAGTAGGCAATGCGGATCCTAGAGCATATGCTGGTCGTGAATCTATCTATAAATTCGATTCAACTGCTCTTGAACGAGCTGCTCACGCAGCTAAAGAACTTGAACGATCACGTATGTTAAACTCAATCCAAATACATACATTCAATTATAATGATTTCTTTTCGATTTAGAATATGCTAATCAAGCATTTGATGTTGTTAAAATGCAAGAACAAACAAAACAACTTGAAATTCAAAAACAAATGAAGGTAATTCTTAATAACAAAAAAAAGAAGTCATAAATCATTCTCATTAAATAGGAATATTCACAACATGAAGAAGAAATTCGATTCAGACATCAACAACAATTAAATGAAGAAAAACGACGAATGATGAATGAAGAAACTCATCATCAAAATGAAGTATAAATTTTCTATCAATAGTTTTTTCTTGTCAAATTTCATGTGTCTAGAGAGCAAAATTTCAAGATCAATTAGCACGTAAACGTATGCAAGATCAAGCTGCTGAACAAGTATCATTAAATATTTATCTATGTTCCATAGAAATGATTTTTATTAATAATTAGGCTCGATTACAAGATGAAGAACGTCGTCGACAAGAAGATTCAGTTCGAAAACAAGAAGAAATGAAACAACGTTAGTAATGATATTCATTAAAATCTCTTATATATATCTCATGATAATGAATATTTAGGTTCAATTGAATATGCTGAACAAGTTCGTCATCAATATGAAATGAAACGTCTCGAAGCTGAATTAAAAGGCAAAGCACAAATTGAACGTGAAAATCGTGAAATTTATTTAGAACAAATTAAACTCAAAGCTGAAGAACAACGTAAAACAGTTTTAGAAAGTATTAAAACAGCAGGTACTGTTGTTGGAACTGGTATAACAACTTTACTTGAAAATCCAAGTAAAATTCTTATGGCTGTAAGTTATTGATGTGTTTCAGTCACTAAGACAAAAACAAAAAGCTTTTCATCATAGACCGGTGGTATTACTTTACTTGCTCTTGGTGTTTATTCTGCACGTGGAGCTACACAAACAGCAGTAAAATATCTTGATTCACGTCTTGGAAAACCATCATTAATTCGTGAAACATCACGAACAACATTACTGACTGCACTTCGTTCACCGGTAAAAACAATACGACGTTATTTTTTTTCGAAAGCAGAAGATTCGTTACAAGGTGTTGTACTTGATCCAGCACTTGAATCTCGCTTACGTGAAATAGCTATTGCAACACGATTTACAAAACGAAATTATGGTTTATTTAGAAATTTACTTATGCATGGACCACCAGGAACGGGTAAGAAGAGAGAAAAAGAAACAAGATTTTAATCATAGTTTTTGTTTTTGACAGGGAAAACTCTATTTGCTAAGGTAAAGATTTGATTTGATGAAATGATAAAAAAAAAAGAGAGAAGTCAAATGTTTTATATAGAAATTAGCTGCTCATTCAGGTCTTGATTATGCCATAATGACTGGTGGTGATGTAGCACCGTTAGGTCGTGAAGCTGTTACAGCAATACATAAAGTATTTGATTGGTCACAAACAAGCGGTCGTGGTCTTTTATTATTTATTGATGAAGCTGATGCATTTCTAAGAAAACGTGCAACTGTAAATAAGAATCAATTTGTTAAAGACATTTTATCGATTTCATTTTAATTTCATAGGAAAAAATTGGCGAAGATATGCGTGCAGCATTGAATGCATTTCTTTATCGAACTGGTGAACAATCAAGTCGGTAAGTTCAAAGAAGAGAACAATCAAAGAGTCATAGAATAATTTTGTTTCATCATTTTATTTTTTTTTCACGGTTATTGGCAATAATATTGATGTTATCACAATTCATTTTTCAAATACATAAAAACAAAAATTGTTTTTCTTTGCTAGGTTTATGTTAGTACTTGCGAGTAATGAACCTGAACAGTTTGATTGGGCTGTTAATGATCGTCTTGATGAAATGGTTCAATTTAATTTACCAACTTTAGCTGAACGTCGTCGAATGACTTATCTTTATTTCGATACATACATTTTGAGATCAGCTGAACGTCGTCGGTACATAAAATTCTTTACTTATTTTATTATGAAAAGAATCATAAGATCATTGAGTGTACTAAGACACTCGATAGAAAAAAAACTTTTCCTTTTTTTTACTAATACTGACTTTTTACCCGTATCATATCCTTATAAAAAAAAGAACAACAAAAAGTGCTCTATACAATCTGTGCTTGTTCTCTTTCATAATGATTTTAAGAGTTTCTCAATAAAAAAAGAGAACATTTTAAATCATTTTCATTGTCATGACACGATTCTAAAGTGAAATAAATATGACATTTGGTATCAACACCAAGCACTACATTAAATGAAATTCATTTTAGAGAATTTTTTTTCTGTGGTCCCCAGAGGTCAAGTTTTCGCTGCAAAAATTCTTTTGTGAAATATATTAGATTGAATATAGGTTTTGATTCGGATTCCTATTGTCACATCTATTTTGCTTTAAAATCATGATATGGCAATGAAAACCGCTAAAATGCTTTTTTTTTCTATTGAAAGATCGTCAAAACTGTTATGTAAGAGAACAATGTTGAACTCCATATCGCCTCGAACGTAACATTTTTGAATATTTTTCTTACAATTACGTAGAGAATAAAAACTTGCAAAAAATATATACAGTTTAGCTTGGAGATTTTTTATTCTGAATTTTGGTAAGAGTTTGATTTTTATGAAGTGGACATCTTAGACTCATTAATAATAAAAACATTTTCATTCATGTTTGCAGAGGTGTCGTACAGAGGTCGCCAGGATTGGAGGAGGAGTAGAGTGGCTTTTTGAGAGCTGATCATCAATAAAATGAATAAAACGCTGAAAACTTGCTAGGAAAAATCGAAAATTACTGAAGACTCGGAGGGATGACTCCGGCTTGGAAAACCCTGCATGTTGAACTTATAAAACTCTAGTCCAATCGATCATTTGTAAAATAATTTGAATGATTCGTTGAAAAGAAAACAAGCACAACTTTTACAGGGCATTTTTCGTTGTTGTTTTTTTCATAAGGATATGATAATGGTAAACAGTAGGTGTTAATAAAAACAAAAAGGAAGTCTTTTTTTCCGTTCAATGCTTCGTATACTTAATGGCTTCATGCTTTTTGTCTTAAAATTACGTAATAATAAAACCCTTTCCTTTAGTCCAATTAAAATTGGTCCATTTGATTTTGAAAAGAAATGTGAAGAATTAGCGCAACGTACTGATGGATTCTCTGGTCGTGAAATAGCTAAATTACTTGCTGCTTGTCAAGTAAGTTTATTTTATTATTAAAAAATAATCTACAATACATTTTCTTTTTTAATTGTTTTAGGCATCTGCTTATGCTTCTGAAGATGGAACGTTAACTGAAGAAATGATAGATAAGAAATTCAGAGATGCACTTGAAAGTCATCGTAAAAAAGTTGAATGGCGTGCGGAAGAAGAACGTTAAAAAATCTTTCTTTCTTAGGCTAATTTTCTTTTGTATGCTCACTGCAGTGATTTCATAGTGTCTTTTGTTTGTTTTTTTTCATATAAGAACAATAAAAACATTAGTAGTTTTCCGTTAAAAATGAAAACAAATTCGTTTTGTTTTCTTATTTCAGATGTTATCAAGTCCGACTTATATTGATCATGGTCCTGGAACTAGTCCAATTTATTATACAACAACATCATCTCCATTAGTACAACAAACAAATCCAGTAGGATCTTTTTTTTTTTTTTTGTTTCTTTGCGCTTCGATCTTACTACATGTAAACGAAGAGAAAAGAATTATATAATAATGATTAGAAAATAAGCTGAAAAGACGTTTTAGTCATTTTTTTATATTTGTCATCGTATTCTGTCGTGTTCTCTGTTGTCTCAGATGAATTATGAATTGAATGCAAGATCGAACTTTCTGCTAAATGTGTCGAGAGTATAGGAAAAGGAAAAAACTAGAAGAGAAACAGTCAATGCAATGCGCATGAGAGTTTTTTTTTTATAATATTAGAAAAGTGGAAACAAAACGCCAACATCCAAGGGAGAGAGAGAGAGAGAGAGGAAAAGGCAGCGGCACGCTATTTCATCGACTTCTATAGTTTGTTTCATCTAATACCCAGTATTAGACATGGTCATGAACCTTGAAGAACTGGAAAATACTACTATCCCATCAAACACAACGAGCAATTTTATGGTAAAAGAAAGCTTTTTTTCTCTCAATGTTGTGTCATATCATTATTTTATTATTGATTAAACTGAAGGAAAACTTGGCGCTCTACGATTAGAGATAATAAACAGAGCTCTGCAGGTAAAAGAAGCTCATTTGAGTGATACACAATAGTTGACTTCTATTGTTAAATAATTTGTTCTCTGTATTAAAGTACTACGAGTTGCAGCAAGTTTTATAATATTTATCTTCCAAAAAAATCTTATTAGTAAAGAAAATAGCAGCTGCATGTACCTTTATATATTTCATGAGAATTGAGACAGATGATGGAATTTAGAAGATCTGTTTCTATGTATCTAACGAATCGTTCAGTAACTTTTTTTTTTAGTAGGATGATGTTATGTCATGATTTTATTAAAAGTTTTTAGATATTTTTAAAAACACTGAACTGAAGAAACGGATTGTGCGCCACTGAATTGTTGATAAATTTTAGTTTCACAGATAAGAAGAGCATCTGATGTATATGGACGAGCTGAAAAAACAATACGATAGTTGATGCCATTGACAACTTGAGTTGCTACACTAAGAACTTCGAGGGATGACACAACGCGGTTTTGTGATTTTGCTAATTCATTAGTTGCCAATTTGACCATAGCTTTTGTTGCTGGACTTCCAATAAGATCAGGACGATTTGTAAAACCACCGACAAGTTGACCTTGAATGGCAACGAATAATGACAAAGCAATAATGAGTTTAAACATCGTTGTTTTCAAGCTTATTCAAATCGAATTTGATTAATAAAGAAAGACAGGAAAGGAATAGATTTTATATAGGTAGGATATATTACATGAGAACTAAAGCAGATGGTGGACTTTGGGGCATTTGTTTTTCTTTTGGACCTTGTGGAATATGATTTCTTTGTTTGTTAAAGTCTATTGTAAATTTATTTAATAGTACATTTTTTCTTTTTTGCTTTTTTTGCTTAAATTATTACTCTTTATTTTCCTTCTGTCTATTGTTAAATTAAAATAATATATAAATATCTTGTCTAATATATACATGAAAACCATGATAATAACTGGAATTTATCATATGAACAGAAACTTTTGTGACAATGTCATTTTTGACATTTTTTTTATACAATTCAATTGAGACATTAATATATGAAAATTCTCATTTTTTATTCTTAATTAATTATCAATTCATAGATTGACTGATTTTAAATATATTATTTGATTGATGGATGATAGGCCTTCGGATAAGATAATTGTATATGAATACGATCTTGTCCAATTAGATGTCTAAATCTGCTTGTATACATAATCCCTGCTGTTTTTGTTCGTAGAGAAAAAAATAACAATGATTGCTTTTTCCAGATGGTTCAAGCATTTTCTTTCTCTCTCTTGATTATTCTATGATATGAGAGTCTTATTGCTTGTGTATCATGTTCTGTTATTCGCCATACCATCAACTACAAAGAAGCACATAAACGCTTCGGTAAAAATACAGACAGAAAAAGAGAAAGAGTTGGCAAATGGATCTTATCGTCGCTCCTATTATTGACATAGAAAAAGAAAAAGAAAGACAGCCACCGCAGCTCAATAAATACATATGCTAGTCAATATGCCTTACTTTTACCTCCACTTAATATATACGAAAACTAAAATTCTTCCTACTCAATGAAATATGTGTGCGTATAGTTCATCATTTTCATAGTTGCATTTAAATATCAATATTGAAATGACCCATTCGAAATCGAGATTATCAACAGTAAGTAACAATAGCTAATTTAATGCATGCATACATCCGTCTATGTCAATGCTTATTGATCGGCTCTTTTTCTTATTATATAAATTCAAAATATAACACTTATATAATTGATTCCACCTTAGGGAACTATTCAATATATTTGTAATTTTTCTTTTTGCTTCGTTTATATTTTGTTACACGATGGGAAAAATTGATCGTTCGATCAATAGACATTTCTTGCTAACAACTATTGTAAATAAAAAGAAAAGAAAAAGATAGGTTCTAATGAAATTATGCGACTATTGAGTGTCGTCGTTATTGCGTTTCTTCATCATCACACTGTATTGTAATAATCATCTCCGTATGTCTCTTACTCCTACTCTACTTGCCGTTTCAGCTTATTGGTTTTAGTTACTATTCAACGTTAGCACAGCATTGTGGCTTGCGTTCTCTCTCTCTTACGAATCATTCTATATTTAATCCAAGTGGGAAGTGTAACAGCGAAAAAAAAGAAAAAAAAAACTAGATAGACAAGCGAATCGAATAAGAAGATGATGTGATGAGGGAAGAAGAATCGTCCTACGACTAGCCGCTACTGCTTTGCTCGGCTTGTGTCAACAGATGATGACGGATGATTATTAACAACAACGTTGCAAGACGTCAAGCAGCGTTATTTGAAGAGCTCAAGAACGAAACGATAGAAGAGAATTGCTTGTTTTGCATCTACTAGTATTTGATGCCAGATCGGTTGTTATTACTCTTCGGAGATAGTAAAAGCGACTAGTGTCATGTTTTGAATAACTATCTGACACACAAAAAATGTCTACTCAATCAACAAAAGAAAATCGTGCTGTGCCAATGTCCCGTCCATCAAGTATCAAACTACCCCCATTGCCTGCAGTCAACTATCCACATTTTCATCAAGTGAGCATGAGAACGAATGAGTGCACACTTTTTTTCTACTAACATTAAATTACACGCTTAGCATGTACATATACACACACACACACACACACACAAACCTTCGATAAAACATTTCAATGACTTCTCTTCTTAGTATTCTCATTCTATTGAATGAAAATAAATGAATGAAAAGAAAAGAAGCCTGATTGATTATTTTATAAAAATAAAAATAAATAAAAATCATCTATCTAACGAGAATAGAAATGGTGTCGTTGCTATCAACATAAATAATTGTATTATACAAGTTACGAACGAAAGACGCCCTAGACCTCTTTATAATCATCATTTATTTTCTATTCGTATAGAAGAACGTAAAGAAAGATATTTCCCTTGACACTATTCGTATATGAGTTCTATTTGCATTTAGCGACATTTCTCGCTATGTGGATATCTATCTGCTTGACAAAATAGATAACGACAAATCATTTGAGATTTTCAATGATTCTCAAAAAAAAAAGTCAAGCAAGATAATGAAAAGGAAATTCATTAAAATAAATTTTTAATGTTATAAAAAGAAAGCAAAAAGAAAAAAAACATTCGTCACACATTTTGTAGATAGATTGTTGTTAAAAATCATTATCTTATAATTGAATATTTAGCGTATCCTTCCTTCTTTTCTTTCGATCACACAGATGTTACATCCTTTTATTTTTTAGGTTTTTCTTTTCCGTTTTTTTTTGTTCTTTCTAACATCCGGTTGGTCGAAAACGGATGTTACATCTGCCTTTAGTTCAATTTCTTCATGATAGGAAAAGAGAGAATGAGATGAGAATGTGTGTGCTCTATCATCACAAAAAGTGGATTCTAACGAGAAAAGAACGAATGAAGAATACAACAATAATAAAAGAAAAATACGAGCGTGTGCGCTCGTCATGTTCACACGCTCATGATGCTTTGTATGTCTGATTCTATTGACGAACAGCAATGCGCCTGCCAACAATTTTCTCATTCTCTCTTTCTTTCTAACTTGTTCTGCACTAATTATTTGTTTCTAGAGACGTCTATACATTTGTACACTTTAATCTTTTTTGATTACCGTTCAGACACGAGACGAGTAAAAACGAAGCTTTGCAAATGTCAATCTTTTTGTTTTTTACAATATGACAGCGGTATGTGTTTTATTTTATTTTGATTGAATTTATTTTTCACAGCTTTTTCTAATCGGTCAAAAGGCCACAATGTCTTTCTTTATGAAGGACATTTATTTTGTTTTTGTTGGCACTTTTATATCGCCGCCGGTCATACATCCGCTCTAATATAACACTTGTTTTTTTAGCCTTTGTTTCATTGTCTCATTAGTTAATCAGTCTGGATATATGTGATAAACGCATTTAGTTAGAAAACATAATTCGATAGGTTCATTTAGTAACCACTATGTTACTAATGATTGCTTGTTCTATTTATATTGTCTCTTCTCTTCTATTGTTAGGGATATTTTTTTTTTTGTTGGGAACGTTCGTCAGTTTGGTATTTCTACATACGTTAGGAAAAAAAGAAGAAGAGAGAAAGACACAGTGCATCAATATAGAAGAAATCGAAGATTATACAGCAGTGTCTTCTTCTCTGTTTCTGAGTGTCGTCTCATTTATTACTACATTGTTACGACGACGCGTTTTGGATATTAGTATCCAATATTTGTTCATTTAAGAGAAGATTGCTATTATGGGTCGACATACGTCGAATAATATTCGATGCACCTTCGTGAGTAATGTTTCACTCGACACGAATTTTTATTCCATTTTGTTTCTTTTTTTTGTCTTTGCTTGATAATATTTCTCATAAAATAATACAAAAAAGAGCATATTATATTAATCAATAACAAACGATTGCCTTTTGGGTAATAATAAATATCTAAATCGTGTAATTTAGCATTAAATTTCTTATTTGTTTACTCATGTCTTTACCGGAAAACATACACAAACAAGTGAATAGAATAAATAATGCTAAAGATAAGAGTGAATGTGTTAGATTTTTATTGCAAAAAAGAACTATTTTATAGCCTAGATCAATATGAATGTCAATAGATCAAGATTGAATGTCTGTTGAGACATTGATACGTGTCGACATGTGTATATGATAAAATAAAGTTAATGCTTATATATTCATCATTAGATTAATGTTCATGAGAAAAAAAGATGTTCATTACTCATTGATATGTTAGTAGATATCAATATTGATTTATTTATTTTTCTAGTCTGATGGTAATTCGGGATTTTTACGAGCAGCGCGAGCAGGAAATCTTGAGAAGGTTTTGGAATACCTTCGTTCAGCAATTGATATAAATACAAGCAATGCTGTATGTGTATTATTTAATGAAAATATAATAGTAAAAACACAAGTGTTTTTTTTGTTGTTGTTGCTTTAGAATGGATTAAATGCATTACATTTAGCATCAAAGTATATGTTCTATGAGAAATAATTTTCTGTTAATGATATATTGTTTTTTTGTTTCTAGAGAGGGTCATGTAAATATTGTTCAAGAGCTTCTTTCACGTGGTGCCAATGTCAATGCAGCGACGAAGGTCTTTAAATATATCAAAAAGAAAATGATAATCTATTAATCATGATTTTCTTTTTCTAGAAAGGAAATACAGCTCTTCATATTGCATCATTGGCTGGCCAGGAAGAAGTTGTCAAACTTTTAGTTAAACACAATGCTAACATTAATTGTCAATCACAAAATGGTTTTTCTCCTTTATATATGGCTGCACGTATGTATTGCTTTAGGATAAATATGATTAATGGTTTCATGTATTTGATTAATTGTAGAGGAGAATCATATTGAAGTAGTGAAATTTCTGCTCGCTAATGGCGCTAATCAAAGTCTAGCTACAGAGGTAAATCTTGTTCTTTTTTTTTCTTACTTCATTTATTCTCTTGAATGAATAATGGTTTTATTTTAAGGATGGATTTACACCTTTGGCTGTTAGCCTTCAACAAGGTCATGATAAAGTGGTAGCTATTCTTTTAGAAAATGATTCAAAAGGTTCAAAAGTACGTTTACCAGCATTACATATTGCCGCAAAGAAGAATGATACAAAAGCTGCTGCCTTACTTTTACAAGGTGAAAGTCAACCGGATCTTAATTATAAGGTATATATAAATATTGATGAATAAATAAAATTTGTGTGAACGAATTCGGAAATAATTAGGAAGGAGGATTTGTCAATTGTACAACAAAGGTTTGTTGATAAATATTTCTATGGTGTCTGTATGCGTCTTTTCTTTTATTATTGTTGTTTGCTGATGGTGATTCCAACTTTTTGTTGTTGCTATTTTTATTCTGTTTTCTTTTAATATTCTCTGTTATTTTTCTCTTTTTCAGCTTGGCAGAGTAAGCATAATTATATTCATTTGATAAATGTATAACTAACCCGTTACTAATTTCAATAATTAAAAATATCAGACCATTGTTTCAAAAAAAAAAAATGAAGCCGGAGTAGTTTATTTTGCATGCATTTAAAAAAAAACATAATAATTCAGTAATCAACAATGATATTTATTTGTTTATTTTTTTTGTTTTTTTATTAGTCCGGATTCACTCCATTGCATATCGCAGCTCACTATGGAAATTTGGAAGTGGCACAATTATTAATTACTCGTGGTGCTGATGTCAATTATGCAGCAAGTGTAAGAGAAAATTTAAATAGACTTCAAACTATAGTATACGTTTGCTCAATTGTTTTGTTTCTATTGAATCATTATAAATGATTAGAATGTAGAAGAATTGAAGCAAAGACAAATGAAATAAAAATTTATACATCTTGTTCTTCCTGGTAGTAGATATACATGAATCTAATTTTGTTTTTGGTAGTGTCTGCTGAAAAAGAAATGATACAAAGTAGGAGTTCAGCAGTTTCTATCGAGTCATATTTGGTTACTAGAGATCGTCAGTCTCAAAATTTTCGAATTCGAAGTCAGTTTTTTTGAACGTTTTTGGGGTCTGGATGTAGTTTATTGGACTTTTTAGGGATACGCATTCAGTTGATTGAAATCTTTCGGACCCGATCGAACCGTATTGCTATACTCTAAATTAAAGTTTCTAATCGAAATTGGATAGTCACTCTGAAGATATGAGGTACTTTATTCCGTTTTTTTTTGTATTGGGCGACTAGCGTACCCTTCATACGTTTTAGACGACTAGAGCACGTTGGGTTCGAGATCAAACTCACGAGCTCTACTAGTTACATGATGTTTTAGATCATATTTTTCTGAAGGCAGCTCTATATTTATGATAAATGAACTGATGTTGTTTTTTGTTTTTGATGTTAACGGTGAAATCCTCGAAAACTGAATAGATCAAGTTCTGATGATACTATGAGATTTGAAGTAAAAATTGTTCATCTAGACTGCTGATTTAAAAAGCGAAAATCACTATATGATTTGTGCTAGTTTGTTAGCTCATTTATTTATTTTCTAGCAAAATATAACACCGTTACACGTGGCATCAAAATGGGGTAAAGAGAATATTGTCAGATTGTTACTTGAAAAAGGCGCACAAATTGATGCTAAAACAAAAGATGGCCTTAGTAAGTTTGATGAATTTATTTTTAATAGAGAATATTTATTTTGGTTTTGTGTTATATTAGCACCACTTCATTGTGCTGCTCGATCAGGTCATGATCAAGTAGTTGATTTATTACTTGAAAGTGGTGCTCCATTTGGTGCAAAAACTAAAAATGGTCTCTCAGCACTTCATATGGGTAAATCAATATAAATAAAACAGAATTTTTTAAAATTAATAGAATTTACATTTTAGCTGCACAAGGTGATCATGTTGATGCAGCACGTATTTTACTTTATTATAAATCTACATTGGTCGATGACGTTAGTTCGGTTCGTTAATTATTTTTGATTAAAAAATTTTTTTTAATTTATTCTCTTTTTAAAAGGATTATCTTTCGGCTTTACACGTTGCATCACATTGTGGAAATTATAATGTTGCTAAACTTCTATGTGAACGACGTGCTGATGTTAATGCTAAAGCATTAAATGGTTTTTCATGTTTACATATAGCATGTAAAAAAAATCGTTTAAAATTAGTTGAATTATTAATAGTCAATGATGCTGATATTGAAGCTCGAACAGAATCAGGTTTAACTAGTTTACATGTTGCAGCATTTGTTGGTAGTCATGATATTGTTGTTTATTTATTACAACATGAAGCTAATATCGATGCAACAACAATACGTGGTGAAACACCATTACATTTAGCAACACGTAATAATCAAGTTGATATTGTTCAAACATTACTTCATTATGGTGCAACAGTTGATGCTAAAGCTAAAGAAGCACAAACATGTTTACATTTAGCAACACGTTTGGGAAATATTGAAATAGTTAATTTATTATTAAAAGCTAATGCATTTGTTGATAGTGAAACAAAAGATGGATATTCAAGTTTACATATTGCTGCTAAAGAAGGACATGAAGAAATAGCTAGTTTATTAATTGATCATGGAGCTAATTTAAATTTATTTACTAAAGTAAAATTCATTTTTTTTTGTTTTTGAAAAACAAAAAACAATTTTTTTTTTGTATTTTAGAAAAATTTTTATAATTACAAT